GACCAACTCCCGCTGTTCATCCCCGCGAACTCTTCTGACCCCTTTGTCTACAAAATGGCGGCTTTCCGGGCCCTTACCAGACGGGCCTTCACGCACCACACACATGTGCGCGACGCATGGTCGGAGATCCGGCGCATAGAAAGAATTGCCGTGGAACATGGTTATTTAAGAGATTAGGGAATTAGGGACATAAATAAAACTCCGCTGAAAGAGCCGGAATTTTACTTAAATAAAAGCTTAACTGAACCTATCCCTATCCGAGTACAGTGGAGACTGATTTCTTCGTAATATTAGATGTAATAGACAGAAATTTTTCCAGTTCAACGAGAGTGACCGAAAAGTTGTAAATTTTGGAAATTTCCGAGGACAACACCTGGTCCTAAAACGAATTAGTTAGAAAACAAATGACAAACAATCTATTAAGTTTAATATGTGTAGATTTTTACTGCTAAGGTGAGAAACGTTTAAAATGTAAAACAACCCTGTCGCGTCCTTTGAGGTATACTAGTGATCAGAGGCGGCGTAAGGCGTGGGCGACCGCCTACGGCCTCGCTGTCTGAGGGGCCTCGCGCTTCGAAGGTTTATGCATTACATAAAAGCCGTAAACACAACGAAAAAATTTTACTCGTCATAAGACGATAAATATATTGACGTACAAAATGCTACGGCACGCCACTGGTTGATCCAAAGATTTTAGGTTCTTTAGAATATGCCTTTCCTAGCGATAGAACTTAAGTACAGTACATTAAAACACATTATAGTTCTAGGTTGTTGTACTGACTAAAATGTACGTTTTATGGTAGTTTTATTGACCGTTGCACAGCATCACTTCAAAGTGCTGTGTGGAAATTTTTTATTTTTATTTGTGAAATTTGTTTCATTCACTAGGTGAACCACTCAAAAGGGGTACGAGATAGCTGGGCCCACTCGCAGTCGTCCAGTTTATTGTGTCCTAATCAACGTTTACGCCTTTTCCATTAAACTTTGGTTACTCTGTTATATATCAGGTGATGCTATAATGGAACGGAAACGTCACAAATATGGCGCCGGGAAAAACGCCCACGCGCACTCCAATACATCACATGCAAGTTGTCTATTGTAAATGCTATCGTAAACCCGCGACCACTGATGCAGTTATAAAAAAAAAAACAGGTATACAAATAAAATATTCATCGACAATAAATAAAAGATATTTAAATCAGAACAATTCTTTACCGTACGTATAATTTTACCATTTTACCACAAATGCCGTATTTTGTACAAAGCGAAATAAACCTTCCTATTTCTGGAATTTGTGTCAAAACAAAGAACCAGTTTGTCAGATAAAGTAATAGATTGTTTGTGTGTATTGAAAGTCATTTTAATGAAACATTTTTTCGTAAATGTAAAGAAATACAAGTAATTATTCATATGTTTTGAAAAATCCAACAATGAATTGCATAGCATTCCTGGATGTTAAAATATTTTACTTAAAAAATATCTTTTATATTATGAATTAATAAATCAAGATCTATACACACAAGATCAGGACATCAATGTTCCCTATGAAGCCGCCATATTGGGTCCTTAGTTCCAACGTATTAAACAGAAGAAATATTATAATAAGTTACATAATGTTGTTATACAACCTGTCAGAAAACTAAAACATTGTTACAAACAGTCTATAGAACTAGTACTGATCTGAGAACCATGTTTTAATGTAATTTAAACAGGAATAATTAAAACCACTTTAATGATGCAAATATTTTAGAATAAGTGGATTTTTGTTTTCATCTAACAAAATATTTAAAAGAAATATCTATTAATAATCTGATACTGTATTTCTAATTTCACTAAAATGTTACTTCAGAAAATGCAACATGTTCACACTAAAAGTCAGTATATGTAGCAAATAGCATTATTTGTATCAAAACACGAAGTTATAAAGGCAATAATAATTATAAAATACTAGCGGATGAGCCCGGCGTTGCTCGAGCAGAAAGTAAACGACAGCGAAGATTACGACTATTAGATTATAGCTGATCTTACCTGTCGTTTTCACCGGGTGCAAGAATTACGCCCCCCCTCTTCGGAGACTAATGGGTCTAAAAATATGTTCTATTTCCCGCTAAAACGTAAAAAAATCGCATCTAAAATAGCACAGTAGAAGCCGAGCACTTCTAAACCCTCTCCCCCGCTGGGAATTTTCAAAAATCCCTTCGTAGTATACATTTTCATGAGGTATCTCTAACTGTGTAGCAGATTTCAACTTTCAACTCCTAACCGTTTGGGCTATGCACGTAATACAGTAATAAAAATAATATAATATAATCAAGATGGGTTGATAAGGTTATAAATCTCACACAGCAGAAATCTTCACAATTAATTAATAAAAATAGTAATGATTTATTTAATATAAATAAGATCTTTTTGGAAAATAATTGGATTAGTGAACATTTCTTATGATAATATTACATGATTCCTGTGGTATATATATATATATTTTAAATCTAAAAAAGTAAATGTTTAACTCTTAAATCCTTATTCTCCTTTCTCTGTCAGCGGGAAAAACGAAACAATCTTACAATTGGGCTCTGAATACCAAACCATTTTTTAAAAGAATAGATAACAAGAAATTCAACTAATTGAGATCGAAAAAAATAAATTACTAAATTCTCTCTAGAAACATAGTACACACAACCTCACAAGACCCAACATGGCGACTGCCGCGATGTCTCACAGTAGTCTCCAGACCTCGCGTTTATAGACGTTGTGATAAATTGTGTGTGGCGCCATCTGTTAAAGTTTTTATAATAAAATTTCCTATTAGAAGGTATTAGAAAATGTCAAAACGCATAATTTTGAGGGTACAAACGAATTTTATAAAATAATTGTAAATGCAAATATCGAGTAAAATCGTCATTAATTCCTATCTATCTGGAGATGATAGAAGACGTTCCTCTATCTCAACATCCTTTTATCACCAGCAACAATATCCCTCATATATAAGCTACAGTGTCAAATTCTGTTTCGTTACTCCATCCTGAGATATTAAACGAAATAAACGCAAACGCCCCCACCCACACACACCACAGAATCTTTTTTTCCGTTTTGTAGACGACAGTGAAAATTTATAGGTCCACAATTTTTTCAAATTACAGCCCAATCAACTTAACTGTTCATAGGTCATTTAAGTCTATAAAAACATGTATTGTTATAATGTTTAGGTACTTTATTATAATTAAGAACTACTTTTTTAAAATCCGGACGTAAATAGAGATAGTTTGGTATACAAAAAAGTGCTGTGTGGAAATTTTTTATTTTTATTTGTGAAATTTGTTTCATTCACTAGGTGAACCACTCAAAAGGGGGTACGAGATAGCTGGGCCCACTCGCAGTCGTCCAGTTTATTGTGTCCTAATCAACGTTTACGCCTTTTCCATTAAACTTTGGTTACTCTGTTATATATCAGGTGATGCTATAATGGAACGGAAACGTCACAAATATGGCGCCGGGAAAAACGCCCACGCGCACTCCAATACATCACATGCAAGTTGTCTATTGTAAATGCTATCGTAAACCCGCGACCACTGATGCAGTTATAAAAAAAAAAACAGGTATACAAATAAAATATTCATCGACAATAAATAAAAGATATTTAAATTATAACAATTCTTTACCGTACGTATAATTTTACCATTTTACCACAAATGCCGTATTTTGTACAAAGCGAAATAAACCTTCCTATTTCTGGAATTTGTGTCAAAACAAAGAACCAGTTTGTCAGATAAAGTAATAGATTGTTTGTGTGTATTGAAAGTCATTTTAATGAAACATTTTTTCGTAAATGTAAAGAAATACAAGTAATTATTCATATGTTTTGAAAAATCCAACAATGAATTGCATAGCATTCCTGGATGTTAAAATATTTTACTTAAAAAATATCTTTTATATTATGAATTAATAAATCAAGATCTATACACACAAGATCAGGACATCAATGTTCCCTATGNTATATATATATATATAAACGTAATACTCAAAAATTAGCCGGTATTACATGACACTCCACGTGCAATTACTACTCGCCTGTTCACCTCCGAATTTTTGGCGGAAAAATTGGTCTGTGCGCCTCTAGAAAGCCTATAATGTGAGAGTGGTCATACCAATAATTGCCATAATGTTAACTAAGAAACTGTACATCCACAGCCAAATATCAAATGGTAACCTACCATCAATCAAATTTCGGTAAAAAGGGACCAAATATTGAAACTCGGCACCCTCGAAAACCACTTAAAACATACTTTGTGCTGGCCGGTAACCTCGGATTATGTAATTTTTCCTATTCTAATGCCACCACACCGGTGGGTCCGGTAGGAAGAAGGGAGTGTTGCAGATGAAGGTTACGGTTAATTCCAAAAAAAAAAACAGTGGTTGACCTCCTACCAGAAGAAAGGATGGCCAACGACTATTAATTAAAACTAGTTTACTATTAATACTTGAAAAATGATCCGTGTTAGACAGGTTGTAATGGCCCCGCACGTGATCGAAGTTGCTAACCTAAACGTCCAAAACACTTCGTATGACTGGTTTAAATAATAAAAAATATATATATTGTAAAAATGCGATAATAATTGTTTTTATGTAATAATAAAGTGTTTCAATTTTGGCAAAGATTGTATAAACTATGTGGAAAGTATCTTCTCGTAAATATCGCTTTTATAGAAAAATTGTAGCCTATAAATTCCCATATCCTCCCTCTGATTATCTGTCTTTCCTTAATCTCGAGATCGGGATTGGATAGATCGAAAATCGAGACCAAAAATGGAAAGCTTAGGGCAGGAAATCCAGATTAAGTATGTACGAACTTTCGGTTTTGACCGGAAGTCACATTACTTCAATTCAAAATTTCTCCCTAAAGGAGTTACATAGATGACCGGCCCGACTCTATGGCTGACAGGAAAAGTATAATGTACAGGGGCAAGACCACCACTTAAAGAATTAAGAACATTGTGACGAAACGTTGCAGTCCGGCATTGTGACGAAGTCAATATAAATAAACGCTGGTTAGAATTAGTTTATTTGGTTATGGTAACGCTACACGCGAGCGATCTGCCATACCGGGAAGACTTTCATTGGAAGCTAGATCCTATTTAGATGTTACTAACGTGAAGAAACCCGGAAACTGCACGTGGCCAGCCCGTTGGCCATGCCCGAACCCACAACTACCTGAGTTATACTTATGGTTAACTCGTAAATCTTCGTATCCGGTCTGTTTTAACTGGTATTTTTGTACGCTTTCCGGTCGGAGTAAATTACACTGCCTTCTGTTACGTTATTTCTTATTGCATTAATCAAAGTTTTAGCCGAACGGTCAAGGCACGGTGACTAAGAAACACTTTACTCGCGACATATCTCGCCGAATACCTGTTGCAGAAGGACACGTCCGCACATATTTCTACGCGTAAATACAGATTCATTTTGTGACTTCTCGGCACGTAAGACACCCTTAACTTGGAAAAAACGAATTGCAGTTTCTTCGTCTTTTGGCCATTGTCAAATTGTAAAATTTTGCATGGCTATTCCGGAGAAACGTAATTTGCATACGCACACACGATGTTAAACTACGCACGAAATGAGATGCATTTATATGCAAAGTAGTCTAAGAATTTAATATAAATTTAAACTTTTTGATTTAAATTGATCCTTATTTAGGATTTTTAATCATAATACGTTAAATATCATGTTTTATGTATAATTTACATCTAGAAAGTGACTTTCGTATCAGATATTGTATATCACGTATTACAAATATTAAAGTACACCCCCTATAACACTGTTGATTATTCTGTTTTATATGAATTCCATGTTGTACGAATCACTTAGATTTTACAAATACTTGAGCCATTCACAGCCCAGCACACATATTTATAAAATCTAAGTGACTCGTACAACATGGAATTCATATAAAATGGAATTATCAACAGTGTTATAGGGGGTCGACTGGGTATATCAATACTCATAATTAATTTATGTATACTGATTTTTTAAATATAAATTTGGACTGTTTTACTAATGATATCATCCGTAAAACATACGTAAATAATTCACTTACCTCAAATAAATAGCTATTGTCGTCTACCACGTGTAGAATCTTTCATCGAAAATTCTTTTTCGCTGCAATTTGTGCACAGAAAGCGGCAAATCCAGTCATATTCTAAGAATTATTAAAGGGTAAAATAAGTTAAACTAAACAATTAAACTTACTTCAATTAATATATTGTTTTTAGTCATTAATTAATGTTGTTTTAATCATAATCTATATCAATTAGACACATATATACATGAGGGCTTATCACACCGGTAATGAGAATTAAATTACAGAATATTTAATGATTATTTACAATAAAGGTACAGCTATTTTTTTAACAATACATTATACAGAACACTTAAAGTGCACTTCGGGCTCAATTAGTGTACAATACATAAAATTATATAAATTGCAAACCATACGTTTATCTTCATTGGAAATATTATCTATATATTGTTAATATTGCTAACCTTTGATTAATTTTAATTCGTTTGCAGACAGACGATGAAATTTACCCACGAACTTTTCGTTTCAATCTAGCTAACACGCGTGAAAGAATAATGGCGGAGTCACGTGATCGCAAACTGCCAATAGAAAAGCCTTCTTTATCGTCTGTCTAACGAAAACTAAAGGTTTGCTCCATCTAGTGGAATTCTCGAGAATTACTTTGTAAAATATGAGGCGGAGGATATACAGTGATTATCGAGTTATTTTAAATAAATTTTTTCAAATTAATACACTTGAGAAAATTAATTAATTAAATAAAATATAAATACAACTATTAATTTATTAGCACCACGTAAACAAACTGGAAAAATGATAAAGCCGGAATTGGGCTAAACTTTGGCGAAACTTTCTCACTCGGGCGGAAAGTCGATAGTTTCTTCCACCCGGGCAGAAACCTGTAGGCGCGCGCGCGCGCACGGCTGGAGGAAAGATCGATAAAGCGGAGACGGAAGAAAACCGCCAAAAAGTAACGGTTTTAGGAAGAGAAAGCGGGAAAAATAAATGACGTGGGGAGAAAGAAACCTTTCTGTAGGGAAACGGGAAAAAAGAGAGATCCGCCGGGGGGAGCGGGCCGCCGCCGTCGGTCGCCAGGTGGCTACCGTCGGCGGCCGAGCTCAGAGCGCCACGGAAGCGGAAGGAGCCGGACGCGTCTTCCTGGGGCTCCGGAGCGGTGCCAGGGTCATCCTTCAACAAAGGTGAGAGGGGGGAAGAAAGATCGGTAAACTGAGCCAAAATTGGGGGCGCGATACCTGGTGGGTGGGAAAAGGGAGGGAGAAGCGCTCCGTGCCAATTTTGGGTACGATTTTTCCGTCGTTCCGTAGTCTTTGAAAAAAAAAGGGGAGGACGCCCGGCCTCCCTTTCCGGTTCCGGGCCCGGAAGCAAAAACTTTTTGGACGAAACGACTTCCGACGGGGTTGGGAGTCCGAGTAAAAATAAAGGGAAAAAAAAGGGCTGGGTGGGGAGTGACGGGCGCCGCCAGTCGAAATATTGTTAAATTAATTAACCTTTACCCACGCTTCTAATCCCAAATCGGCGCATTGTACTCGAAGAAACGAATGCATTTTCGCTATTTATTTCGTTACACGTTATTGGGAGTGGGTCTCGACGTCGGAGCCTTCCTCGTCTCTCTCTCGGTTTTAGATTTTCGCCTATCGATTTTCCGTAAGCGTAGGGGAAAAGTATGCCACGGTGATGGGTGGAACAACCGATAAAATTGGTAGGCACGTTTACGGGGAAATCGAGTACGGGTGCCGTTTACACCTACCCGTCTCCGCCCGTTCCGGACAAATGGCGCGCTAATCGGAAATAATATCCCCGCCCGGCCACCCGCACCGAAATCCGCCTTTTTCTCCGTCTCCCGGTATCTTCTTTATCCGAAATCCTCCTCTTCTACCGTATTTTAACATTATTTTGCAAGTACATTTCCCCCCCGAAAAGTCATCCGCCTTTAAAAATACGGCGAAAAACGACATAGGGGAAGGAAGAAAACCCAGGAAAATATAATTATTTTACCAAGGAAAAGGGCCTGGTTGGCCCGAATATCTAAGGGCGGTTTTAACGTGGGCCATAGAAGAACGTCGTACGCCGTTCTGGGAGAAAAGCCCCGACGAGGTACAAGGTTACCACGAAAGGTCGGAAGGTAAAAAATCGATAGATTGCCTCGCCCTTTTCTTACGGCCGGGTCCACCCTTCCGGAAAAAAGTGGGGCGACCGGCGGCTGACCGCCCGACTTTAAATACGAAGGTGTCCCACCCGTAACCCGGCAAACGACGTCCATCTGTTCCGGAAGGAGCGGTAGATAAGAAGCGTCGAAAGGAAAACGACTAGGAAAGGCCTTTTCCTACCACCCAGAGAACCGGAAGGAAAGCAACTCTTTATCCGACAATCCCCGAACGATTCCTCCCCCTATAAAATGACTCTTATTATTTACTAAATTCGTTAACCCCCCTTTTTTTGTCAATAAAGATCGTAGACCTGTGACTGGTCGAAAGAACTTTGACTTTTTTAAAGGTCACCCCTGGCTCCGATGATACGCAAACTTCTTTCTATCTCGACATCCATCGTCCTTTTCGTTATAATTATCATTACATCGGTCCTCTTCCGGATAATTTCGTTATCCGTCGGAAGAGACGGACGGAATTTCCACCCTCCCCGCGTTAATTCGGCCGGATTTTAACGGGCCCGACGGTGAATCGAACCGTTTCTCTCGGACCGTCGCCTTCCGATTTCCTATTAATAAAGGATAGGCCGAGGTTTAGATTCCGGGGAACCGCCTCTTTCCTAACATTATCGCTAAAGACTTTTTAAACTAGAGAAAAATCAATGAACTTGAATAAAAATTCAATATTCTTAAAGACCGGGATATTTTGAGAATATTGTTCCGTCGGATACGGGACCGAATTAAACCGGTAATTATTTACAAGTCGACCCCCTATAACACTGTTGATTATTCCGTTTTATATGAATTCCATGTTGTACGAGTCACTTAGATTTTACAAATACGTGTGTCGGGCTGTGAACGGCTCACGTATTTGTAAAATCTAAGTGACTCGTACAACATGGAATTCATATAAAACGGAATAATCAACAGTGTTATAGGGGGGTCGATTGTATTGCAGCATGATCACCGCGCTTTCGATTATAGTAGTGTCTCGCCCCTGTACATCATACTTTTCCTTTAAACAATAGAGTCGTGCCGGTCGCCAATCTCACTTCGTACGCAAGTTAAAAAAAAAAGGGCTGGAAACCGCTGCTCTATCTAAATTCGTTTCCGAGGATAAGGACAGACGGACATCAGTGGAAATTTATAAGTCTATAACTTTTGCAAATTGCAGCACGACAACTGTAAGCCGGTTTCTGGCGCCGTATTTGTAAGCCCAAGTGCCACTCCCTTTTTCGTTATCGATTTTGTTTACCTTTTGCCCTTTTCCGGAGGGAAAGACCACGGGACCTTTTCTTCTTCGTTCTTTTATGAGCGTTACTACCCGGAATTACTTCAAACGGATTGTCGCCCGGTCGGAAAATACCTTTAAATGTCAATATATTCGAACCGTTGACGATGATGTGGTGCATCTTATTCTTTTCCTCGCCGCGCACGAATCCCTCGCATTTTTACCTAACAAAATTCTTATGGTTTACAATTGTGTTTTCTAATTGCAGATTTCTAACGAACTTCGATCGCGGATCGTAACTCGAAAGGAATTTTTACATATTCAAAGTGCAATTAAAGGAAACTTATTCCACCACATATAGTCCTATACGTTTTTAATAAATAAGATCCTCCTCCTCGAAGAGTGTATCGTCCGAAGATGAACGATTCTCTGGAAGATTTCAGGCTGCGGTTCGACAACCGGACGGACTTCTGGAACGATTTAATGGTAAATTGGACGCTTTCTAACATCTCGACCTTCGTAGAATTTCGCATCCAAGAGGAACCCCTAAAACCCTATTACGGAAAGGAATTGAGCGCCTTCAGAGAGAAGTACGTCTCGGTGCACGGCTACATCTCCGTCATCGTATGTCTGTTCGGCATTTTGGCCAACGTCCTCAACATCATCGTTCTGACCAGAAAGGACATGATCTCCCCCACCAACGCCATCTTGACCGGATTGGCGGTGGCCGACGTCTCCGTCATGTCTTCTTACTTACCATTCGCCATTCACAATTACGTCAGAGTGGATCAGTCGAACGAGGATAAGTTTTCGTACGGGTGGGCCGTCTTTACTCTGTTCCACGCCCACTTCACCGTGGTGTTCCACACCGTCTCTACGTGGTCGACCGTGGTCCTGGCCGTCTGGAGATTCCTCTCCATCGGTTTTCCGGCCAACAACGTCGAGTGGTGTAACATGAGTCGAGCCAAACTGGCTATAACTCTGACTTACCTGAACTGCGCGGTGTTTTGCCTTCCGGTTTATCTCACCTTCCAGATTCACGAAGTGAGAAAAAACGGGGAAGTTACTTATCACGTCGGATTCAGCAGAATCGCCGAAAGGAGGCAAAAGTTACTCAAGAACGTTAATTTTTGGATCTTTAGTGTTTTGACCAAATTAATCCCTTGCGTTTTGTTAACGGGACTTAGTTTTGGACTCATTCGAGTGTTATACGAAGCCGATACCAGAAAGCGAAGGTTAAAAAATCGCTCCGACGGCGATAAATCGTGCGACAGAACGACTCGCATGTTGTTAGCGGTCCTATTACTCTTTCTGGTAACGGAATTTCCCTCGGGAATTTTGGCCCTGTTGAGCGGTATTTTGGGCAACGACTTTTACGCTAACGTCTATCAGAATTTCGGAGAAGTCATGGACTTTCTGGCTCTAATCAACAGCGCAATCAACTTCATTTTATACTGTTCCATGAGTCGTCAGTTTCGAGATACCTTCACCCAATTGTTCACTCCCAAGATAGTCACCAAGTGGGTTGCGGTTCCCTCGGAGCCCGCCACCACCTGCGAAACCACCTTCATGTGATTCGTCTCTCGTTTTAATACCCAATACAATATGCACATAACTCGTAATTTTATAACACTAAGCTCACCACATTTAACATCTTTAGTAATTCTTTTCGGCACGTGCACCAAGAAGATCGTCCGGGAGGGTCCAAAATTTTCGCCAACGCGTCATGCCGGAGCGGATCCGACAATATTTATTCCTTTAATCCCATTCGCGTATCACTTAATAAAACTTCTTCGGAATTTACTAATAAAGAAATCAAAACGACAAGACCTTTTGTATACAAATATATAAGAGGATCCGTGGTAATATTTCAGGCTATAATTTACTGGTACAGGAGTATTTTTATATGAAAAATTAATATTTTAAGTGAAGAATTTTTCCACGATAAGTTTATCAATCTTGGGGCAAAACGTCACTCGTCTAAATTATGTGTTTGCGTGTCGTCGGATGGATCGGTTCGAAAGCACGGTCATTCCCTTTATTTGGGTGAAAGCCGTGATTGGGGCTCTTTCGAATCGACTTCCATCGAATTGTTGTAACCGAGCTTATAAACGTGTACAGTACGTTGTTACGGTAATAAAATTATTCTGGTTTGTTTAATACTTACTTTTCGAGTGATCACGCAACAAAGGGGTGCCCTGCCCGGTACCCCTTTGCTTCGACTTTCCACTTTCGATAATCAATAAGATCTGCCAGAAATTATCTTAAAGTAATGCGTACGAAACGTTTTTGAATAAATAATGCGAAATCTTATGGTGCGGAATAAAATTTTTATCTCGTTACGGAACGACTCGACGGTTTTCGGGTGTTATTGGATTAGGAGGAGGAAGCCATACGTACGGACGAACAATATTATATTTCAAATTTCATCGGGTTTTCCATTTGTAGAAGTGCCCCGCTTTGTTTACTCCGAATTCTCTCCATTCGACTGAATTTATGACAAAGAAGATGCCGGAAGAGAGAAAAATATGAATCATAATTTAGTTTAGTGTTTCTGGCGGTAACCAGAAGTAGAATAAGCATTAACAATTGCTTCACAAAATGGATATACGCGTACTTCTTTTTTTTGCTGGACTGATAAAGACTCGACGAACGGAAAGAATTTTCTATTGTCTTGTAATTCCGGCTAGTAACTTTGATAATGACTCATTGTCCAAATGTCATTTTCTCCATTTACCAGTGTAAATAATGTTTTATTTTACGTCTATTTGAAGCGTAAGTATATACTCGGGCATAAATCGCGTTTAGATTTAATATCGAGCGGGTTTATTATTCCAATTCCGTGTTTGTAGTCTTCGAAATTAGTCTTAAATTCATTAAATATCATAAAACCAACGAAAGGCCGAAAATATTTCAATGCTAATATACAAAGTGGCGGAACCCGGCACAACCAAATTAAGGGTAAAGATAGAAGAAGAAGCCTTTGGCCACCGTCAAAAGTGCCAAATACGCGGGGGAAGTGGCAATGCCGGTGTTATAATTTTTACATTTGTAATCCGCAGCTGGGTTTTGACGGTCTAGGCACCATCGGTAGAGATAAAATACCAGTCGACTCCCCTATAACACCGTTGATAATTCCGTTTTATATGAATTCCATGTTGTACGAGTCACTTACATTTTACAAATACATGTGTCGGGCTGTGAACGGCTCACGTATTTGTAAAATCTAAATAACTCGTACAACATGGAATTCATATAAAACGGAATTATCAACAGTGTTATAGGGGGGTCGACTTGTACTGTACTTTTCCGTAGAATATCAGACGTGTAATTTCCACGTATTACAGAATTGAATATAGTGTCACGTCACCGATTCGACCGACGAGATTTTTTATATGATTAGAATTTTTTAACTCTACCAGCAAAACCTCAAAGTGTTGCGATCCTATGCCGAAGTTTCTTCCTTATATTTAATAAGTGAAATGAAAAAAAAGTTAGCGAAGTTAAAATTCCAGTTCCCAAGTAAGTAGTTTCCTTAATTTTATCGAATGGTCGGAAGCATCGAAGTTTCCTTTAATAACACCAACATGAACTGATAACGAGTAAAATCGTCATTAAGACCGACCCCATTTGAGATACTACACACGATCCTCTTTATTTCCCCCACTCCTTCTACCTTTAACCACCAAAATTTAATAGTATCGATCTCCTAATACACAAACCTTCTTGCAAAATTTCAGAAATTTTCGACAAAAAGTAAAGGAGTTATTAAGTTTCTCAGAGGGTGCACCAACTAACATACATACAGGAAACATCCCTAAAAACTAGTGGATGTTCACTGGATAAGTGGAATTTTGAAGTATCGAACATGTATTCCAGTAGAATGGAGAGAATCCAAGATCTCCTGTTTTCGATCCTTTTTCGCCGACGGCCGGATGGCCGAGCGGTCAAGGTGGCACAATGGGGCAGCCTGCCTTCGGCCGCCCATTGTGAAACTGTCCAAACCCATAAGAAGCTTGTTAAAGGAGGTCCTCTTAGTGCTCACAGGGCTGAAAGAGTTTAAAAAAGAGAATACTTTTTCGTCTTTGACAGAGCATTGGTCAACCGGAAATAGCAGGCGCGGCAATTAGAAAAGACCCGACTGTTTTTTTCTGTTGAAAGGTTTATTTCCGACGTTTTTCAAAGAGAAATGTCAATGACTAAAAAAATGGAAACCATCAAGCGTGGTAAAGAAAAGAAACCAGGGGAGATACAGGCCGTCAGGCATTATTACAAATAAGACAATGCCGACTTTGTAGTTGAAGCACCAGTTTGATTTTATTCCAATCCGTTTAAAAGCCTAAAAGGCATGTTTTTAGTTGTATTGGTGGAAAGTAGAAAAGCTTCATTTACGAAAATTGCCAAGTAAAATGCAAAAACGTGGCGAAGAATCGAAGGCGATACTTAGAGAAAGGGGGACGTGCCGTAATAGATTTGTATGGGAATAATAAAGAGAAAAGAAAAAATTACCGGGTCGAAAGAGCCGACAAAAGTTAGTTCTTAACGCCTAAGTTTGTTTAAAAGTCTCGATAATCTGTCAAAGTCCTTCCGCTTTAAACAACGCATAAGGAAAGAATGGGCAAGAAAGTAAACCAAAAGCTGCTTAAACCGAACTTTTAGAGTCGAGTAAGAGTAAACCCCGGGAGCGCCAGTTTTTCTGGCATTTGCGTACGAATGAGGACGGAGGAATAAAAAACGTTTTAGTAGAGGACCGTTGGGTTTTAATACTCTATATCCTTAGGGAAAACACTCAAAGTTTACGCCTTCTCTCATTTAGAGTTTGGTTAGTCTGTCACGTATCAGGTGAACTTCAGGAAACGTCACAAATATGGCGCCCGGCAAAACAGCTCATTCGGTTCACATTCCAATCGTTTCTTTAATAGGGGTGCAAATATTTACACTGCGCACGACAATGCACGCTAATAATGATTAATGATTACGATTAATGATTACGATTAATGGAATGAATTGGCAACAATTCCCAATGGAAGTATATTTATTTAATAAAAATTGAGGAGATAATTAAACATAAATTATAATAATAGAAGCTAGGCATAATTACATATACGTTTCTGCGTATTAATTAAAATTTTAATTAATAACGAGGTTGCGGCCGAAGTTTTCATCTCTCTCAAACGTGAACGTCGAACGTCGAGCGCCGCTATCTTGTAAGCGGCGCTCGACGTTCGACGTTCACGAAAACTTCAGCCGCAACCTCTCTAATTTCTTTGTGTTTGACATTGAAATGGGCCAAAATTGTAAAAAAAATGCAAGGACCCCCTGGTACGCATACTTTACAAGAAAATGCTAATAAATAACATACAAATTACAGCCTCAAAAATTACGTTTTGTTCCTCAAATGGAAAACTTCCAGCTCTTTTCTTCTCTGGCGATAGTTTTCATCTAAGGATAAAAAATATCTGGTGGAATCGGACATTTTATGCAACCGAATCAAAATTTATGATATTTATTATTTCCAAGAAACAATTCTTGGAAATTCTTTAAAACTCATAATTCATTAGGAAATAATCTTTATGGTTTTCTTCAGAAAATCGATGGGGACGAAAAAATTGGCAACGAAAGAAGATTTTACTTTTTATCTCCAGAAGAAAAGAGACCGGATTTCCGGAAGGAAAATATTCCAATAACTCTTCTATATTTCTAGACTTTCTTCCTCTGGTTGATAGAAATAAAGAATTGTCCCAGATATGCGGGTGGAATGGCATTTCGTTCGACGAACTAGCGAATTCGAAACATCTAATAGTGTTTATAAATAAATAATTTAATCTTTCTTTCATTTCGGAACCGTTATTGCTGTCGTCTACGTAAATATTTCATTTACGGGTAACCCCCGTATAACACGGGAGTTACGTTTCAAAAAATTGCCGTGTTATGCGAATCCGTGTTATACGAAACAAAGAACTAGTGCGAAAAGGAGAGGTTAGGTTCCAAAAATTAAAAAAAAAAACATGCTGTTAAATCCTTATTTAAATCGGATTTATTATTCATTTTTTTTCATAGGTAAAATACTTATTTATTATTTAAGTAAATATTTTACCGGAGGATTATTCATCCTGTACGATGATCTCAGCATGAGCATCATCGACTGGTAACAGTTTTTGGGTGCATTCGTTAATAGCGGTCGCTCTGCAACGGGGTGCGCTGTTGTTTGTAGGCATTTAGGAACAACGGTGAAAGAAAGATGGCTGCGCCTGCACTATCAATAGTATCGTGATGGAGGAATCTATAATTCTAAAATGAGCTTTTAGAGGCGAAAGAAGGGTCCCAATTGTAAAATTTAACCATTAAATGGATTATTTGTTGAAAGAGCATTCAAAGTAGCCACGAAAACAATTAGGCCTACAATGCTCGCGCGGAGTTACGCGGAAGTATAAAAGAACACACCCTTTATTACATTTCATGTTGTACGAGGGTTTTACCCAGTTCCCGAACCGTGTTAGAGTGAATCCGTGCTATAAAAGTACCGTGTTATACGGGGTTACCTGTATTTATTATTTTTATTATATATTCTTCTCGAAACCCTCTAAAAACCGATACAATTCTAATTTTCGTACATACCATGCACCGAAGAAAAACTCTACTTAATTTCGGGACTATAAAGGATTCGGTCGATTTAGCCGACAGAATCGAATGCTTTATTCCAAGACACATTCCACTCGTTATATAAGCGTATTATATAATACAATTTGAAGGTATCGAAAGCTTGCCATCATTTCCTCACGCCTCTCCAAATCACCCAACGACAAAAATAAAGGCATCAAAGGCAGAAATAATTCCGACTTATACAGATTTGTGTTTCATAATTCAGATGGGAGCCAAAATAGCCACGAGACTTAAATTCTCTTAATTCCATGGACCGGTGATGATCCCATTTATACTTTAGGCGAATACCCGTAATGTCGGTGGGTGTGCAAATTTATTCCCTTTCGTCCAAAAACGGTAATGCAGAATTTGAAATATTGGTCCGTCTGGATATGTCAAACCCCGTCCCTCACCAACTGGCCGCCCCATTGTGGGACTGGCCGAACCCATAATGGGTTTGCTGAAAAGAGGCCTTCTTAGTGACTACAGGGTAGAAACGACGA